ATATTAGTTAGCGCACTTTTTTCACCACAGACTATAACTAGCCGCTAACCTTAAACATTTTTATTTACAGATGTTTTCTATTTATCACAGACATAGGAAGCTTGTACTACATACTTATATAGACATTAATGTTTATTAAAAGCCGATATACAATTTTTTATAACCTATCAGATCTATAATTCATAATTAATGAGCTGAATGCTTTTGCCGTTTATAGAATCGCGGACGACGCCGCCATATCTTATGCGACGGAGAGATGTTCTAGTATACGCGTGGGATCTACTAGAGTTTTTCCTCTTACCGAGCCACGTTATCTCATACAGAGTTCATGTCTCGATCAGTAATTTCATAACTCACCTTAGGCCACGTTTCCTAAAATAGCAATCGAAATAAATCAATACCATATAATAACTAAAAACTCAATGCGTGTGAATCTGCTACGACCGCGATCCTGTGAGAGTGTTTTATTAGATTTCAAGTCTACTAGCCTACTCTTTTCATTGCTTTTTTTATTTAACAGTTCAGTTCTTAGTTGTATTTAGATTTTGTATTGTATGACTATTTAAATTATAAATAAGAAATAAAAATTGTAAACAAATGTAAAAATGTATATGTGCCTGTACTATATTAAAAAAAATCGACTCGTCCCTCTTTCTTTATTTAATATTACCTTGAGTATGTGTGACTGGATCTGTGTTTTTTTAATTAAAGCAAATTAAAACATGTTTTGCTAATATTTTTTATTATAATATATTTCATTTTTATTAAATACATTTTATTCTAATATTTACTCAACGTAGAAGAACAATATTTCAAGTAGGTAGTTATTTTTTTTGCGTATGTCATATTTGTCAAGTTCCCACACAAACTTCGACTCCGAGAGTAGACACACTTGACAACAATTTAAGCTTTAGCAAGCGTCCAATCATATATCTAAAGGAAATATAATAGAATGAATAAATTCATAGAGCTTAAATCCTTTTTAGGTAACTGATGTTAATTCATATTTCGTTCGCAATGAAGTGATTTGAAGTTTGTTGCGGTTTTTCTTTATTTTACGGATACTTTAATAGCTGAACGCTTATGATTTATGGCTTCATGTCAGTTATGGATGTAATTAAATTCCTTTAAAATCCAATTAGTCGATCACTGAGTTGCGTTCAAATTAATTAGTCTGGTTAAGGCTTTTTTGCGTGTGCGCAATAATGATGGGAAATACACGCGTAGACATTTCTCTTTCTGTGATACCTATTATTTTGCACTACGTAGGTGTAAAGTTAACTAAATGCCTTAAACCTATGTATAGGTTTAAGGCATTTAGTTTTAAAAAGATACTAATCTCGTACTATACGTTAAATAATATAATGATGTTTATTACTTACTCACGAATACAAATCCAGCTTGACCAACAATTGCGTTCCTGAGTCAAATTTTTTTTTTGGCTCTGCTGTGCTACTTAATTGTAAATCAAATCTATCAGTTAACACACACAAAACGGGAAACAAAACTTAAAATCTACAGAAAAGATTAATAAGATTGGTAAATAAAAATTAAAGATTAGATATAAAAAATAAATAAGAAAAGTCATACAATCCCCCTTATTTCGCACTGAAATATATATTGATTAAAAAGAAAGAGATGGTTAAAGTTTTAAAACCTAAATTCATACAGTAAACATTCGATATTACAAATACATACCGAAGGCACTTATGTAATATCTTCTCCAAGACATATTCGCCATTGTGCATTATCTAACAAGCATGTACCGTGAAAATGGACATTATGTTATCTTTGTTACGCACTGCAAGCCAAGCACAACTTAAGAACACACAAAGCATAAATCACATGAATATCATACGAATGTAACCTTTATTACCATGTGGTGTACACTATAATCGTTCGACGATGACATTTTACCTACTTGACGTTGATTCGTCAGTGACGATAGATTATACAGAGATTATATAAATAACTATGCTATCTCTGAATATAATTATAATACGAATATATAGACTCTATTAAGGGAAATCAATTCTGTATAAAATGTTCACAGATAAAATAACGATGTCTTGTTTTGCTTCGCACCTCCAATATAATGTGTACGTTATTATCCACAGATAAAGTAATTTATACAGTAGAGTGGGTATAAATATTGGAATTATATAGCTGTGGAGGTATTGAACGACAGACGATATTTTATTAGATCTTTACATATCTAATGACCACAGAGTATATGAATTGTATAAATGGTACAGAAGCAGTGTTCCAAGTCAAAAATGCGTTTTTTATTCTAAAAGTAGCTTAACAATAAATAATTGGTATGTAATAATGTCAGAAATGAATCAAAAAGGTATACAACTGTATGATATAAATTCGAAACAACTCTTATAAACTCTCGCTGATTACAAAGAAGTTACTAGTTCAAATCACCATAGCAGGGTACCTCTAGTACGAGTTAAATAATTAAAGAAAAAGATGACAATCTATATCGGATACTAACCGGCACTAAAGGAGGTTGTATGAGTGAGAAAATTATCTCGTTCGTCGTATTCTCGGTGCAAGGACCGTTTTGAAACGATGCCAAACGTTTTCGTTAACCAAAGAACTCATACTACGCCCGTGAATAGATGTCGGTAGCGGCACAAATAACCGTTTCAAATGCTAATATATCACAAGGCGGCGCGCCGTATAGCGCTCATTGGCTACGGTATTTACATTAACATACATAAACGTGTTCGCCCCGCCCACAACGTAGTACGTCACGTCTGCACGCCGTTAATTACGTGCAATTAGTGAATCGTGACTCCGATCCACATGTTCTCGGTGCGGGGGTCGCAGCTCGTATAGAATGCGAAAAATTCTTTCAACTCACCGACTAATTAATTTCTAAGCACTTACATCGGGCGTACGTGAAAATATCAACACGGCACAGTGCTAGAACTCGTAATTGGGTACAATTATGTCATTGGTAAAGTCGAAAAAATACGTTTCTGAGAAGCGATGCTGTTAGTTTTTACCTCACCATATGGTTTATTGCAAACAACATACTCTCATAATCATTAGAAAGGCGAGTCTATAGATATGACTTTAGACGTTTAAAACTGGAAATATATTAATTAAAAACGTCGCGTTCCATTAATTTTTTTTGCAGTCATCAAATGTAATTTTTCCCGCCGTTAATTCTTAAAATATCTTTATAAATTACAAGTATAATTTAAGCGATTGTCGATGCAAACATAATGTTCTTTAAACAAAGCACATGTGCCTTTATTAATCCATAGAAACAATACAAATAACTTTAACATAAATATATAATAGAAATCACGCCAACAATAGTTGCAAAAGGAAATTCTCGCAACACAATCAGCGTTCAGTAACAAATCATAAGCCGGCCGCGAGTCGCTCACGAGCTCACCTAATAAGGGTCCGGATGTCGATGCCCGGCTCTTGTACAAAGGATTTATGTCGGCTGCTTTTGGTGCAAATTAGCAGCGTGCCGGTACGTAGGCGTTAGTTAACAAATTTGTCCTACCCTCAATGGAGACGAAGATAAGCCGCTTTCGTCATCAGTTCTGTTTAATTGAATATAGGCGGTATGAACATATTCCTAAATGCGACAAAGCTTGACGGTTTTTAATCTGTGGTCGGCAGTTCGTGACCCGAACTTGATTAGAAAAATGTTAGACTTGGTGGGGATCGATACAACGAACAGATTATTACACACATTGCTATTATTACATCAATGAGTATATATAAAGCTGAAGAGTTTGTTTGTATGTTTGAACGCGATAAATGATATAAGCAAAAGTCCGGGACACTGTATGTTTACATTTTAAGATTAATTTGCAAGAACGACGGGAAGGGACGAGACCGATGTCGTGGGTAACAGCTTTATAAAGATGAAGGGGTTTGCAAAAACGAATTTGGATGCCCAAAATAACGATTCTCGCGGACGAAGCCGCTGACACAGCTAGTTAAATATTAAAGTCATTAAAAACAGTTTGAGACAGACGAGGGTCGAACTCGTATTACTTTTCCAATGTTGTAAAATGTTTAGCACAGTCTTTGATAAATACATCTTAACAATATGATAAATATATACTACTATTTATAGCACTGACATAAACAAACAAAGTAAGTATCCGAAACGTTAAGTCGTAATCAATTACGATTTAAATCAAATCAAATCAATAATACAACTAATATAATTATTGTTGGAATCCATTAATTTTTTACGATTTAATTCGTAATATATTTTGCCTAAAAATTGCAATACATATCCGTCATTTATTAACTCCTAAAAACAGAATCCATTGCTCCAGTTTCGATGTCGCAAGGCCGTGGGCGTGCTAAGTCGACTAGCTTGGCTTAAGCGTAGGAGCATCGATCAGAACATGGTCACCCCACCATATTTCGCAAACATTTTACCATACTGACGTATCTAGGATATTCATCATTAATGTTACCTATCAATATCGAAGTGGAATATGTAAAAGTTGTTATTCGCATATCGAATTGGCGCACTCTAATTGGTAGAACGAGCCGATTGGGTTCGATTTATATACTAATGAATAACTAGAGCGTACCTATGTTTACAATATCTACACTTACTGGAATTTTCCCAAGAGTGTGTAAGTTTTTGAACTTTAAAATTACTGCGGTCACAATAATGTGACCGCAGTAATTTTAAAGTTCAAAAGTATACCATAAGGTATACCTTACCATAAAGGCTAAAAAAAAGGCTCCTCTACAAACATTTTCTGTCTATTAATTACCCATCAGAATAAATTGTATTTTATCCCTATCCTATTCCCATATAGTACATAAGTTTTATTTGTATTTTTTATTGTCTTTTGTGCAATAAAGTGTTAGTAGACAAATTATCGTTGTTGAGCACAAACATCGTTCTTCTTTCCTTCCATTGTCTCTGTAGTGTATACGAGTATTCTACAAAATTAACATTGTGTTTCATTGTTCCAGGTCGTTGGCGCACGAGCCCGATGAGCGCGTGCGCTGCGGCCGCCATGCGCGAAAAGCACGCGGCACCGCGCCGCCTCGCCTCACCGCCCTCTTCGCCACTCGACCATCCCAGCCCTCTCGGCTCCCCGCGGGCTGACGAGCCCCTCGACCTCAGAGTCACGCACAAGCGCCCACAGCGAATCGAAGATGAAAACTGCAACCTGATTACGCCCTCACCGCCGCCGCACCCTACACATCCAGCGCATCCAGCACATCCAGCGCTATTACAATTCTGCAGACGTCTGCCTCTAGCGTTACCAGCATCGTTTGGCCGCTATCCATTTCTTCCAGCGGCCGCCGCAACGCTCCTAGCTCCCGGTGCCCCCCGGCCTCCACCCGTCCCCCAAAACGCCGTCAACAGAGCGCGAGACCGTTACACGTGCTCCTACTGTGGCAAAGCGTTCCCCCGTAGTGCTAACTTGACACGTCACTTACGGACGCATACCGGCGAGCAGCCGTACAGGTGCAAATACTGTGAACGTTCGTTTTCCATATCGTCCAACCTGCAGAGGCACGTGAGGAATATTCACAATAAGGAGAGGCCGTTTCGTTGCCGCCATTGCGACCGTTGCTTCGGTCAGCAGACGAATTTGGACAGGCACCTGAAGAAACATGAAGCTGAGAACGGAGATGATAATCGTAGGCGATCTCCTGAGGAGACGTATTTTGAGGAGATCAGATCTTTTATGGGTCGCGTGGCTCCCGCGCGGCGGACGACGGCTGCCGCCGCGGCCAGTGCTGCGGATCACACCTGATAGTGAATCCACAATACAACCATCGCTACTGTAATCTGGTCGGTGCATCCAAATGACTCTTTAGTGTATTCGCTCTCAGCCTATGGCTTCTTGACTTGTGATTGATTAGTATTAGCGCCATGGTCCACTTGCCACTTTCACTCTTCTATTTTACTCGTGTTACTGAAATGAAACAATGTAGTTTAAATTAGTTAAAACGCGATTTATTGTTTAGTGTATGTACTACTTTTTGGATCCTCTTAAATCTAAGATAAATAATCTGTTTCTTTGAAGTTAATACTTGCAGATACAATTGGAACCGCACAATACTGACATAAAATGTAGGTACTCTTCTTTGGTATGCTGTTTTTTAAACGTAAACAATAAAAGCGTATAAACTTTTTATAATGTGTACTACTTGCGTCAACAGATACAAATTACATGTGTCATGTTCAAATATTAATATATCCTTGCATGTTTTAGTTTTAAGAAGATATTCCTAACAGCTGTTACCGCTATGTTTCCGTACCTTCTGCAGACGAGGCATGGAAGAATGTATCTACGTCTCTGTTAATCTAATTTTGTTAATGCAAAGTGATATTGTATCTTATCTTAAAGTTTCGTGTACTTATTGTAAATATAGATTTTGTTTAGATAGAAATGTAATAAATTACAACCTAGGAAATATTTCCTGACGAGGACGATTATCAAATAAGTGTTCAAGGAGTGTTCGCTATGGTAGTTTAGGATAATGATAAGTATTGTATGGATGTAAGTAGACCCTTTGTATTATTTTGTAAATTTTGCTTCGATGATGTTTTATTTTAGTAATATAGTCTGAGAGAAAACGCCGGTTACCAATAAACATTATATCTTGTTGCTTATTGAAGATATTATAAATATTTTTATTGAGTGTTAGAAAAGTTGAAAAATATACGATCAGGGAATTTTATCTGTACGTTGGATAAATTATTTAGGGTTCAACGACGAATGTCGGAAGCCTTACATTGTTAAGTTTCGATATGTTAATCAAGATTTTTTCGTTTCCGATTCCATCGATTGTATAAAAATGTTGTAACGTTTATTGTCTAAATTTTACTAAATTAAGAATACAAATCTGTGATTTTATTTATTTTATGAAAATTATGTTTTTGATTATGCAATTTCGATACAGTTTTAAGACGAAGTCTCTCAAAGAACTAATTTAAACGTTCCTTTAAGTATAGATAGATCTCTATTAAATGTTACGAGTATGGAAATTCTATTTTACATTAAGCAAAATCTCTTTTAACTCTTGCCTTTCTTAAAACTGAATATCTACTTGAATTAAAAACATTTTAGAATAATGTCTAATTTTAGAAATAAAAAATCAGCCTTCAGTTTTTAAAAATGTCTTCCAACAGATCGAAAAAAGGTAGGATTTTTCCAAAAATATAATATACAATTTTTGATTATATTTACGATGTTACCTGTACAAATAGTATACGTATGCAGTGCCTTACTATGTTAAATACTCGTACCAAATTTAATTTTGAAGTTTATGAGATGCTATTTAACTTATGTGTAGTTTTAGGGAATAGAGATTATCACTGTCATTTTGTACTTTTCATACGTATAGTCGTTCGAAGGTCACCAATTACCTTGTCAAAATGAAATAAATAATTTTTAATTGATGTGTGTACTTTATTTCAACCTTTTAGATCTATATAAAATACAGGCGATGAAAGAATACCTATAAAATATCGTAAGTAGGTACTACACTATAGTTACTTGTCTAATACAATATAAAACTAGTATTAGTAACAAATAATAAACAAGAAAAGACATACATATTACCACAAATAAAAAGCTATATACTTAATAAAAAAGGGAATTAAACTCTTTTTTTTGTGTTATTATTTTTTAACGGTTTAAACTTGCGGAGTACATTAGTTTATTTATTGCTTCAGGTACTTTGTAGCTGTGGTCAGGAGGGACTTAACATGTTGGGCATCACAAAAGGTCAACTATTTGCCCCAACATATAAGGAATTTCCTAAAATCACACACTATTACACAATTCAAGGCTTGTCAACTTCGCCGTGGCTCAAAATGAACGATAGACAAAGTATAGAATCAAGAATGTAATTAAAACCTATCGCCATTTTGAAATCGAAGGGCAGGCTGCTGCGGGCCGATGTCGTGAGGACCGCCTTAACACCGAATCGATATGATTACGTCTCAAAGCCATTAATTTGCGACAAACGAAACCGCCCCACGCCAGGGCAGCCATATTGGCTAACTATATATAAATGTTCAGGCAAACGAATTAGATGCTTTCGGATAGGATTCTGTGGTTCAACATACATATATAGATTAAAATATAAAAACCACAGATAATTCTTGTATCTTAAAGCTATATTGAATCTTAAGTATATCTAAAAACTCTCAACTAATTAAATTTATTAAAAATAAAATAAATTAGGTGAATGTAGGTAAAAAAGGCTGTGTAAACTGACCACATCTTTCACGTCTTTAAGTTATATGTTTTACGACATCTATCCATGTATCTTATATAATTGCACGTAAGTAAGTATAACGCCATATACTTTAGGCAACTTTCGCCTAAATAGATTTCTAGTTGAGGCATAGCTTATATAACTAAGAGATAATAGATTGGACTATAATAAACAACAGTTAGAACTATCAGATATTCTTGTCTGTATCCAGCAACTAAGTCTAAATTCCAATATGTATAAATATCTGTGATATCTACCTGACTTAGTTATTGATATAAGTTATAAACGGAAGCGTAAAGGAAAACAAATATAAGCCTTTCTGTAATAAATTGCTTTTGCATCAACATTATTTTGATTGCATAGTAATTTTAAAAACATACTAGGTGTATTCCCTAACCTAGAATTAAAATTAAAATAAAAACTAAAATTAAAATTCCTATAAATTTACTTACTTGGGCTCAATACCAAACCTGCGTTAACTTGAGTGTAGCTGGACTATATGGCACAAAAAGATAAAGACAAACTACACACGAATGAGTAGCAACAAAGGTATAGAAATCGCTTCCGCTCATGACAAACGCCGTCCCTAAGTTCCATTGCAGGGTGGGGCAGATTGCACAACGATGACACGGCCGGCCGCTTGTTAGCGGGGACCGGCGCGGGCGCGTGCCACTGTTGCGTTGCGTTACATTATTTATTGCTTATTGAAAAACCGCGCCAATATCGCTTTCGCACAATTATGACAGTTGTGGTCAATCCCTTCTTTTTCTAGTGTTTGGTAATGTTACTATGAGTCCAATAATAGAGTTAGAAACCATCCACCTAAGATTTCATTTAAAAATGGTGTTACCAACTAAATAAAACACTTTAATGGTTTAAAACACGAAATATATTATTTAAACTTTAAAAAACTATATATTTTAATTATGGCATGATGTTTCGGATGGTTTGCAACCGGCGTGGTCACGTGAAAACACTATAAAACCTAAAATGATGGTGTTGCTCTTACAGTGTGGAAAACGTAACATTTAAAATTTATTACAAATACTCAGGGTGAAAGGTAATTTATAAAAAGTATAAACTTAGGTTTGATTAGTCAGTAATAATAATATGACCCTTCATGATTTAAAAGTGAAGTATGTACTGTCTTTTCAAGCTCGATCCCATATCTTAAGAATTTACATATATTAAAATAAAATATTAACTTATAAAGTTATAACACTGAACAGACTGAAAAGCAGTGCTGTGCTATTTCCTTCAGCTGAGACTGAATTCCGGAATTTCACAAGTCTTAATAATAATTTGTAAGGTTTTCTGTATTTTTGTGACAATATCATTTTTTTGGTAATGATTTTTTCTTAACTAAATTAAATTGAAATATAGGCCTATTTTCCGCATATTAAAACAGCGTATTAAGACACTACCTACATCCAATGACCTTCATCACCACACCTAAAAGATGACAAACCAAGGTATCGTTAACAGTGTCCCAAGTCCGGCGATCAATCCATCAACTCGGCGAGATAATTATCGACTAGCAAGGTCGTAACCAGATCACATAATCACAGTTGCGTAAGTTTTTACGACGACTACAAGTGTATAGTAATTTTTTAGACAACGATATTAGGTTTCATTTAACTTTCTAAAACTAAATAGGGAACAGCGTCAAAAGTCTGCTAGTACTTGTATAGGAAGGCTGTAAGGTGACTTAGATCGACTTCGACGTATTAAAACACGATATTTACAAGTGAACTGAATATGTATACTTTACGCAAGATTTACGTGGGTTAAAATTAAAAAAAAAAACAGCAAAACATATGAGTTGTCCTATTCTCAATATATTTTTTACGCGTTTTAGTAGTCTGGAATTATTTTATAGCAAAAATCACGCTTTTAAAGCGATACTACGCTGTAATGATTATTTTTTTACAACATTCTGTAAATATTTTGATTACTAAGTTATACAATGCGTATAAACTCTAAAAGTAACATAAAACACATTGCAGAGTGTGTTTAAATGTTGTAAATTAAAGAATGTTTTTGACGGTAGACTATCTGTATTTTTTCTCAGACAAAAGCAAATTGTAATATTTATTTTAAAGTAATCGTAATACCCAGAAGCTTCAAATCGTCCATAAAACAGTATAAAAATCACAAACCCCTTATACACCAACATAAGACTTACGGCTTTAATTAAACTAGAAAATCCCTTCGACTCTGTATTCACTAATTGATGTACAGTCAGATAAAATCTCCTAAAACAGTATGAACAGGATTGTAAATGTAATTGAGATCTGATAGTTAAAAATATATGCAAATTTGTTCGTATTGGGGCTCAGCTTCAAACTATGCTAAAAAGCTAAGAAAGGATTTATTCCATGAATTGATTCATACGTTATCAAATACTCTGTGGTATGGCAGTGTTTTATAAAAAAAAATCTATATTTTCTTATACATAGCGACGCCTTTGTGTTTATGGAATGTATTTTTAGTGGCTTTCCTAAGTTAAAATTAATTACCTTAC